GGCGCTATATAAATACTATGTAATAATAATAATAGTGTGTACCCAGCTTTGATTGTCACCAAAATAAAATGCCCCCAGTGTAAGATTTATCTTCTTTTCCTGCCTGGGGACCCCTCAAAACTTTGGATCTTACCTCACTGATCACCAGGACATAGAGAGGGTGACCCTACTTAGAGGGTAGTCAGCAATAAAGAAAAAAAAGAAATGTTATCCCTTCCCTACTCTTTTCAAAAATAAGAAAATAAAGTTTGATTTTCAATATACATTAATCATTTACTCGATGATGGCATAATAAAGTAGCACACAATCTGGCTGTAATTGTGCCACTGACAAACACAGATGAGGCAGCCATTTTGACACACAAACTCCATGTGCAGTTTTAAGTTGTGTGAAAACCTTTACAAACTTTCTTTTCCTGGTGTTTGCCCTCATGGATGTCCGAGTCATTGGTTTCCGCTCTGCGTTTGCCACTGGTATTGCCATTCGGAGGTCCTGTCTCAGGAGAGGGTCCAGCTGGGGCTGAAAAACATTTCTTAGATTAGTGAAAATCCTCTCAATCAGGCTGTGAAATACAGTTTTCATATCACAAAAATATCTTTTATATAACTGGCTTGAAGCTCATTTGCACTTTTGTAGGTGATTAGCGTTTATTGTGGTATTGTAGAGGTGCAGTGATGATGTATATGTGTGGACATTTTCATGACTCACATTGCTGGCTTTCCTAATTCTTTTTATGGCTTTTTATTAGGCCTGAGCCCTACAAACTGAACATTTTCTCTGCAGGAAACTCAGTGTGACACTGGGGTCGGTTTGTAAAGCCGCTGACCCCCTCACTGTGAGTCATTGTTACAAGATCACTGAACACCAGCTCTGCCTTTTCAGGTCACAATACACTGTCTGGGGGGTTGCCACTAAGAATATTAATGAATAGGGGGAGAGAGCTCAGAGAGAGTTCATTTACACAGACTGCTTGCAGAGCACAGAGGCGGCCATTTCAAAAGGAGCCATGAAAAGATGAAGAGGACAGCTAACCAAAAAAAGTAAAGTTTCTGCATTCATTTACATCAACTGCATATGTCTGCTTCATGTAGATGCGGTGTACATCGCTGACATGTTTTTTTAAATACCTCCGCAAAAGGTGGAAATAGACTCCAAGCATATCTAAACCCAAAAACAAAAATGTCACATCAGTATGTAATAATGGTTTACCGGTCCTTAGATATGGTGGCTTAATTCCCCCCCCACCCTTATATCCACCTAATGATCCTGCCACTAACACTATAATAATACACTAATGTCTCCATTGCATCTATGGGGGCAACCATGGCTGTCATTCAGGTTGAAAATAGTAAGTCCCTCTGCACCCCTCACAACGCTCACGGCCCAAGTACTTGTAGTGGTGCTCGCAGTGACAATCACGGATGGCACCGTGCAACAAACAGAGGAAAGCAGAAATCACCAGCAGTCAGTAAATATCTTTGATCTCAATTTAATCGGACAAATCGTCAATTGTCATGTACAAAATAGCGACGTTTCGGGACCGGACAGGATCCCTTCATCAGGGCAACATCAATGGTTACATTGTCGCCCTGATGAAGGGATTCATGTACAAAATAGCGACGTTTCGGGACCAGACAGGATCCCTTCATCAGGGCGACATCAATGGTTACATTGTCGCCCTGATGAAGGGATCCTGTCTGGTCCCGAAACGTCGCTATTTTGTACATGCCAATTGACGATTGATCCAATTAAATGGACATCAAAGATATTTACTGAGTGCTGGTGATTTCTGCTTTCCACTGTCATTCAGGTTGGACGTCATACATGTGTGCTTTTATACATCTCAATTACATGGTGGATTGATGGAACTAGTAGTTTACAGAAGAAAGATGGTTTATGCTTCCTTTTCATCTCACAGGAAATTGTAGACGCTGCATTTCTGGCAGATCAAAAGTTATCGTCCGTACTTTCTGAACATGTTCATAGCCTGAAAAGTGAAAAGGAATGCGGCCACTACATCTAAAGACTGGTAATTTATATTAGTTTCACCTTTTAAGTTGCATTAGTAGTGAAATAAATGAACTTTTGCACAATATTCTAATTATTCGTGTTTCACCTGTATTACATTTCTGTTTTGGGGTTTATATATCCTTTAAAGTGTACATATTACATCATGGCACCAATCAATCTGCATGCTTTTTCAGCTCACTTTCTGTACTGGTGACAATGCTGTCACTGGGAGAGGAAGTCACATGTTGTGAACAGGGACACAATAGCATTTATTGTGGAGTGGAGAAAAAGCAGAATCTTCATAGGGGAGACTTCTCATCGCTTCCTGCCTATGGAAGAGGAGCTACACGAAATTTTGCTCAACTCCACCTCAAATAGGTATAAAAACTTCCACACGCTATCCAAGCAAAAAGAAAATTTGGATGAAATTTTAAAAAAATAAATAAATGAAGTGAACCAATATTTATTCCTTTGGACATTTATAGGCACAAACTTCCAAGATCCTGGGACTCTGGAAAGCAGAGACTGTCAGGCCTCATTCACACTAGAAATGTCAAACCTGCATTTATATACATTTAGAGGACATTTGTAAACACATATACATGCATGTGATGATTTGAAGGTCTTATTTACAGGGAGACAAGTACAGTACATGCATACAGTGTAAAATACACCTGGGAGCCCCATCTGGAGCATTTCTATGTTCATTGGATTGTATGGACATAAAACGCAAGTACCGGGGTTTGCGTGTGTGAGTTCCTGAACGTGGAAGTTTTGTGTATGGTAAATTACGCCCAATTGCTGGCAACTGTGTATACGCACATATAACCGCATACAGCAGATCCTATCCACACAATTCTATGAACACAAACGCATAACAGCTGGGGCTCCCATATGCAGCAAATATAAGTGTATTGTACACTGAACGCCCGTATGCCTGTATATGTGTCCATGTACATGAGCCCTTAATGGTATTATTCAAACTATCAGGGTAATTCACAAAGGAGTGAAGAGTTTGGAGAAGGAAGGAGAAGTGAACAATCTCAGACAACATAGATGATTTGAGTTCTCCAATTCAGCTCACTTTGCAGTTCAGTTATGTTGTCCTAGATTGTTCCCTTCTCCTGCCTTCTCCTCACTCTTCACCCCTTTGTGAATAACCCTGTTAGTTTAGCTGTGTTCAGTTTAGCTGGGTTTAGAGAAAATAGAGTGCTGCCCGTCCAGGGGCAGATTAGATACTCTAGACCAGGGGTGCCCACAAGGTCGATCGCGATCTACCAGTCAATCGCCATGTCCTCTCCTCCCGTCGCTTCTCTGGATCCCCGCTGCACTCCCCAGCGGGTATCCGAGAAGAAGTGAAGGAACCGGCGGCGGGGGAGGGCGGAGCCGCTGTCACAGAACTAATGCAGAGCGTGAGGAGTGAGAGACGCTCGGCCAGGATCTGACAGCCGGCGCCTCTCTCTCCCCTCACTGCTCGTCCGTTCTGTCACAGCGGCTCCGACACCCCCCCTCCCCCACCCGGCTGAAGTGCTCTTTGACTTCTCGTCGGATCCCCCGCTGCGGGAGAGCAGGGGGGGGGATGTAGAGGAGAAGCTGAGCCCATTTGTGCGTGGCCGAGCGGCAGAGGATCGGTACATGTCAGTAGTATGTACCAATCCTCTGTGCAGGACAAAACACTGGAGCGATCGGCTGATCACTCCAGTGTTTGTAAATAACTGGGGACACATAGTACTATGTGTCCCCAGTTATAAATGAATGAACAGGATGTGATTTACATCACCTCCTGTTCATTCATGAGTTTCTCAATGGGGAGAAGCACTCTGTACAGAGGCTCCTCCCCATTCAGAAACAGCTTGATAGTAAATATTTTCTGAATGAATGGGAAGCCTCTTTGCTTTCCATTCATTTAGAATAGAGGCTGCAGAAAAAAAGATTGAGGACTATGTGTCCTCAATTTCTTTTTCTATTTTAAAAGGGAAATATCAGGGGGCTTTTTAGACCCCTAATATTTCCCCAAAGCCCCCCCAATTAATTACGAAAATTTTAAAAAAATAAAAATGAAAATAAAAAAAAATTGTAAAAAATAAATTAAAAAAACGTTGTTTTTTTTCTTGCCTCAGGCGCAAAAGGAGCTGGCTACGGCTATGCTCCCGTGGTGCTCGTGCGGCTGCCGGCTGAATGTGTCAGACGCTACAGATGGAAAGGTGCAGGACACCCCTGAGGTACACACGGCAAGATGCTTGAAGTCCAGTGTGAAGTTTCCACAGTCTGTGTTGATTTGGGGAGCCATGTCATCTGCTGGTGTTGGTCCACTGCTTCACTAAGTCCAGGGTCAATGCAGCCGTCTGGAGCATTTCTATGTTCATTGGATTATATGGACATAAAACGCAAGTACCGGGGTTTGGGTGTGTGAGTTCCTGAACGTGGAAGTTTTGTGTATGGTAAATTACGCCCAATTGCTGGCAACTGTGTATACGCACATATAACCGCATACAGCAGATCCTATCCACACAATTCTATGAACACAAACGCATAACAGCTGGGGCTCCCATATGCAGCAAATATAAGTGTATTGTACACTGAACGCCCGTATGCCTGTATATGTGTCCATGTACATGAGCCCTTAATGGTATTATTCAAACTATCAGGGTAATTCACAAAGGAGTGAAGAGTTTGGAGAAGGAAGGAGAAGTGAACAATCTCAGACAACATAGATGATTTGGAAGTGTCAATGACATCGCCCACATTGCGATCGCCCGCACTCGGAACGCAGGCACATTAGTGCCTGCATTCCGGTCCAGTGCGATCTGCAAAAATAGTGCTCGCAGCATTTTTGCGGATCGCACTGGACTGGAACACAGGCACTAATGCAGGCGATCGCACTGTGGGCGAGGGGCCTGGCTGCGGTGCCATTCATTTCAATGTACCGCCACGCCCCTCAATGCAGGTGTTTTTTCGTTGGTAGATCTCAATGAGCTCATCATTTGAAACGTAGATCTCCAGATGAAAAATAGTGGGCGCCCCTGTCCTAGACACTGCTACTGGGTTTCATTTATCTAAATGCATTTCATGCAGGTAAACACGCAGTGTGAATGATACCATTAAGGGCCGGTTCACACCATACAGAACGTTCCAGAATGGTCAGCCTGTGGAACGCACTGTAATGCATTCCGGCCGGCTTCCTGTGTTCAGGGGCAGGAGGGGGAAGTCCATGGCACTGCAGCCACGCCCCCTGCCTGCAATGCGATCGCCCGCACCAGAACACGTGACCACGTTCTGGTCCAGCGCAAGCTGCAAAAATAGAGCTTTCAGCATTTTTACAGATTGCACTGGACCGGAACGCAGGCATTAACTTCAATGCAGCGCCATGCCCCCACCTGCAGGAAGCTGGCCGGAATACGATACTGTACGTTCCAGAGGCTGACCGCTTAAATAGAGCTTTCAGCATTTTTACAGATTGCACTGGACCGGAACGCAGGCATTAACTTCAATGCAGCGCCATGCCCCCACCTGCAGGAAGCTGGCCGGAATACGATACTGTACGTTCCAGAGGCTGACCGCTCTGGAACGCACTGTTTATGGTGTGAACCAGCCCTAAGGGTGCATTCACACCACAACTGGAAGGTACCCACAAGTCAACGGGTGGGTCCCTCGACTTGTGACTGTACCTTACAATTTCCTTCCAACCTGTTGCATTTTTTTTTTTTGCCAAGCTTTATGTGAAGTAACATGTCCTGAGTGGACATACTTCACTGTAATGGCTTGTGATGCGTTGCATTAGCGTTTGTTTTTGACACTTTGCAATGAAAAGTGGTAGAACATGCTCTACTTTTTTTGTCAGCACAACAGTGTGAACTGTCCCCACTCACTTTTCATTGCACTAAAAAAAACGGATGGTAGCGCAACAGATCCGGTGTGAATGGGGCCCAGAAATCATCACAGCACATGTGTGTAGAAACATCCTATGAACTCACGTATGTCACTGCCAGTGTGAATGAGGCCTTCGTACCTCAGCCTGTCACCGGGAGTCTTCTATCATAGAAGCCATTGGGCTGAAGCGACTTCCAGGGACAATCCGATCTACGTGTACGTTTGACAACGCGACTACCAAAAATCTGCAGATCCTATTTAATGAATGGGGTGTAGCAGCAAACACTGCACTTTCCCCATTTATGTACTACTTCCGTATTACACACACCACTATATTCCAAGGGTTGGCAACTCGGGCCCTCCAGCTGTTGTGGAACTACAAGTCCCATGAGGCATTGCAAGACTGACAGTTACAGGCATGCTGGGATTTGCAGTTCAAGCACAGCTGGAGTTGCCCACCTCTGGTTTGTACACTCTCCTTCGGTTCCTTCAAAAGAGTTCATAGAAAGCTGATGGAAAACCATCTGTATTATTAATAAGAAAGAATGTTATGTACATCAGTTGGATGATAATAATAATAATAATAAAGTGATATTTTGCATTGACAATGCACACTTGTACATGGAAGCTTTGATCACAGCACAGTGTGTGTACACTGAGAAGCAGGGACACTTCCAGGGACAGACCTCTCCAGCTTGTCCCTGGAAGTCCTGAACAGCTGCCATCACTGTGGTGTACTGGTGATGTGCACAGACTGCTCTGCTGGCATTGTATGACCCCCTGTGAGCTGCCCAGAGAAGCAATACGTCCGTTGGCCGGACAAGCCTTGTCTCCTCACCGGGAAGCTGCGGCGGTTCTGGTAACTCGTCGTACAGCTCCATCTTCAGCCACTTGGCCACAACAACACTGACTGAGCTCCTGCTCCTCTTCTCGCGAGATTACACACAGCGTCGGCCCTAGCAATGGGACTGTCAATCAACAACGGAGGCGGCCACATAAGACCGTAAAACCAATCACCTTGGACATGTTACAGCATATTCTTAACCAATAATCGCTCTCGACGAGAGGGAGCCCTGCTGCTGTCAGAAAATACTTATTCGCCCACTGGTATCAGACAGAATCTCTGCGTCCCCGCCCACGTCAGTACTCACTGCGCATGCGTACTTTCCTGTCAGGCGGACAAAAAAGGCCGTTCCCGTGACGTCATCTATATGAGACGCTGTAGTGGAGAGCATAGGGAGCATTGAGCTAGAAGCCGGAAAGGGGTCTTAGAGATCGGTATTAGATTGTTGATGAAGGCCGCAGCGGGACTAGAGGGGTAACTCGGTGACATAGTGTAAGCTAAGCAGGAGTAGATATATACAGATGGAGGGGTGGTAACAGGAAGGCGCACCTCCTTACAGTATATATGTCATTAGGGACATAGAGTTCATACACAACCAAAGGAGTAGTGCAAAGCCCGACTACGTACACAGTACTGGGACTAATGGAGGGGGTATAACAGGGACTAGCTGGGTGATGTAATACAGGCTATATAAACCTTTGTGAATAAATCCATACAGAGCCTTTGCTGCTAGTTGTGAATACATGTGTAAATTCAGGAAATTAGTATCAAGAGGCCATCGCATACTGGGCAGTAGATGTCCAGGAGTGCTCTAGACATGTATGCACATTGTTGAGTTGGGGGACATTGGATATTATTGTGTTCCTAGTACCATGTGAGTCTGGTGCTGCGCAGGCTTATCGGCACTGCAATGGCTGGCAGTATTAGGACCGGTGGATTTCCTGTCTGGAAGATTCATATTTACACCGAACTGAGGAGAAGGGATAGAGAGCAGAAGCAGGCCTTCGAGGAGCTCATCCTACAATGTAACTATAGCATTTCTTTATTTTGTGTGTTGATTGTCTGGAAATCTAATTGCAGTCGTCTGTTGAATCCTTTGGGTGTCCGTTAAAGTGGAAGTGACGAAAAACAGTAATTTCTTTTTTATGACAGAAGATTCTGTGTAAGTGGCTTCTGCCATAGAAGTTTCTTTTTTTTTTTCTTTTTTCTCTGTACTGAGCCACCAATGCGCAGCTTAGTGGCTCAGCAGGATTTTGGCCAAGAAGTAACCCCGTGGGCATGTTTGGGAGTTGTCATCAGGCCCGGGCCAATCAAGTGCCTGGAGAATCAGAACACAGAAGAAGACTTGGACGAAGATGGAAATGCTGGTGAGGGAGTAGAGCGCAGACATCACAGCGCTGGAGGGGATCACTTTGTCAGGTGAGAAGAAAAGCATGTGCTATTATGCAGTGCATATTAGCATGCTATGGCTAAACGCTCCTGCCTCCCTTCTTTTTATTATTGGCTTTCCATCTGGTTTAAATTATCACTGGGCCAATATCTCTGGTTCAATAACTCTGCACACAATGAGGCAGGGGCCCTGAGGCGGGGGGAACCTAGAATTAAGGTGACGCAAAACTCAGCAGTTAAAGTCACATTTTTTTGCCCTCCCCCAATGTTAATGTCAGCACTTACCTTAAATGATGTCTCTTAATCCGATCATCTTCCTCCTTCTTTCCTGTCCTTTTCAGCCTTCTCTCCAGCGCTGCGGCGGGTCTCCGATCCAGCGCTGACTCCTCTGTCCTTGCTGGCACTTCCTGTCCCACGATGTCTGCATGCGGGTGCACGCGTCCATAGACTTACCTTTGCGTCTCTCCTCGTCTCCTGGCCGAAAATCCGAACTGCGCCCGCCCCAAGATGCTTTGCGGCTGCCCGAGCAGTTCTGGATTTTCGGACAGGAGCGCGTGGCTAAGACGGGTAAGTTCAAACCGCTTTTAAAGCGTTTTTTTTTTTTTAAACTTCTTGCATATGTATACTGCCTGCTAGCAGTAGATATATGCAAACAAAACGGAGGGTTTAGAAACCTTGAAGTACCCCTTCAAGGTACTTGAATGCATTTTTAACTATTAACTGGGGGGAATTTATCAAAACTGGAGCAGACAAAATGTGGAGCAGTTGCCCATGGCAACCAATCAACATCTCTCTTCAGTTAAGATTTGAAAATGAAAGAGGGAAGCTGGTTGCAGTGCACAGCTGCTCCAGATTTTGTCTGCTCCGGTTTTGATAAATTCCACTCAATGTATCTTAATCGTGTATCAATCTGCTGTAGATCCTCAAATCATCTCATTGTCCCTGTGTGTGTTGTAGTCACCTCTCCAAGCTCTCTCCCGTGATGGACTAAAATCTCACATTTAGTTTACTAATTTGTATTGAGATTGTAGTCCATCACCGGAGTAAGCTTGGAGCGGTGACTACTTTACAACACACACAGGGAGCACGGGGAACAAAAGTAGCCACCCTCCAGAAGGAATTACAGTGTCAGCACCAATTCAGAGATGATTTGAGGATATACAGCTGAGTGATGCACAAATTAGATACATATTTGGTAATAGTTAAGGTACTTTAATGCAACTTTAAGGTTTAACTCCTGAGTTTAGTTTTACTTCAAGAAACCACCTGTGTGTGTAGTTTAATGAGCGTGTCAGACAAAAGGCCAAGGGTCTAAATCTTTTAATAATTAAAATTGGTTTATAGCAGGAAAACACAAAACGGCTGACTTGTTTCATGGGACATACTCCCCCCTTCTGTTGGACTCCTAAAATCATCATCACCAGGGATGATTATTTGATATGTGAGAGAGTCACCAAATGCCTTAATCCTGAGTAACCTAAAACGGAGCAGCATAGCGGCTTAGTGGTAGCACTTCTACCTTGCAGTACTTGGGGTTTTAGTTAATATGCCAGTCAGGACACTGAGCAAGAAAGCCAGTCAACTAGTATTTTCAGCAGTGGCAGACTCAATAATACTGGGTTCTCTTTTTCCCTGTTTAACAATTCTGTGATGGTAGGTTCACACTTTTGTGCTTTTGGGACAGTATATTGCACCAGACAATCCACCAACACTAAAATGCAGGTTATACCTGTACCATATTTGGCACAGTTTTACAAAGAAAACCCGTCACGCTATGCCACACATGCCCTCTGTGGACACAGCTGGGATTTTGAATGCAGTGACACTAAACGCAACTAAACTGAGGTAAATCCTAAAAATACATTCAAGTACCCTAATTATTGCCAATGCTGAACCTTATTTGTGTATCACTCGACTGTAGCCAGGTACCATTAAATCCTGACTGGGGTTCCTTTCCTCATTCCATCCCAAACTGGCTATAGATACACTTTAAAGGAAATATGAAACATATTCTCCTTCCTTATTATATGTTGACCTTATCCTTGCAAAAATGCTTGGTAAATCGCTTGTGCAGAATAAGACTGTATTAGGTGTCCCAACACAGGAAGTGAAGGAAATGCTGAAGGTGATGCAGCAATAAAATATTGACAGAGTTTTTGACTTTTTCTTTCTATACACAATTGCTGTGAGTAGGTTTTATTGAAATACGTGTATTTTCTTGTGTGCGTTGTTCAACAATTCAGCAAATTCATGCCATATTGTCCAGTGTGAACAAACCCTATGTGTTGATTACAGTTTTATTATGTCTATTTGACTTCCCTTCCTAACAGACATTTCCCACCACAAGTGCATTTGTTTTCTTCTGCACCTTGTCTTCTCAGTCATTAGATAGTTTGCTTACTTATGGGCAACCTATAGCACGTCCGTTCTAGGTTTCTAATCCCTCCGAGCTTTGCAAACTCTGCCCATCAGCTGGGTTCTCTGGATTTTACAGAAGAATAATCAGACAAATGATTATAAAAGTTATTGCAGGCTGATGCAACGTGCTCTGGTACTTTCAGCGAATGTATTGTGTAGCAAAGGTGTGATGGTGTGCATGGTTTAGATAAAATCAGTCAGGTTTCCAAAGCTGTTGGCTTTTGTTACCAATAACACTACCATAACAACATGTGTAACTAAACATGGTACAGTATACTCCCCGTTATCCAGGATCCACAGGGATTGGCAGATTCCGTATGAATGTAGTTTCTGGTTGCTTGAGAGTTGCTATTAAAAATAGGTTTAACTAATGCCATACCCCATACTATACTCTACTCTATCATAACATAAAACTGTGAGTACACAGGGATTTTTTTTTTCTGGCTAGATGAGAGTACTGGTTTGTTGAATATTGGATAAGTGAGAGTTTACTGCATATGGAAGTACAATTGTAATACCTAAACAGTAATCTTTTAGCAGATCTTTGGTTCTTTGCAGAGCTACAGCTGCCAATAGAATCTTTGGCATCCTCTGCATCACTTGTGTCTGTTTCTGGGTATGTCAGATCCCTGTACGTTGTCTGCTGTGTCCCCACCAGCTATTACTTCTCTTATGTGTATCCCTTTGGCACTTCAAGTTATATTAAAGGCAAACGTTTTGTTAGGTATTTTAGATACTGAATAAATCAGTTACAGTGGATGCTGCTCTGTGGGTGTTTAAAAGTTTGTTTCCTGCAGAATTAGTTGTTCCCCTGTGTGATGGTCCTGATATCCTGTTTTAGGGTGGCTCCTTTCCCATTCAGGGTCCAATGGAGCCACTCTTGTGTGTGCTAGTAAGCAGTGTGTGTCTCTACACAGCAAGCCAGGATGAGAGAGTTGGAGCTGTTTGAAAACATGTCAGTGTTGGGGCAAAACTGTAAAGAAATGCTTTGTTGGGCAATGTATATTTGTTTGCTATATATTCATTTCTGATAAAAGTTTAAGGGTTTAATACTACTTTAAGTAACCTTAATGCTAGTGACCTGGCACTTGGGAAAGGGAGGTATCCACGGCATACCTAATGTTTTTAACACCTTGTATTGTAACTAAATCTAGCCCGAGGGCTTGTTCACACCAGCTGCACTCAGTTGCGTTTTTTTTAAACGCATCCAAAATGCAAGCATATTAAATTCAGTGCTTTCCAGTCAGCCCAGTACACACCATTGTATTCAGTTCCAGTGCTTTCAAAAAGCACTGC